TGTGTGTGTGTGTGTGTGTGTGTGTGTGTGTGTGTGTGTGTGTGTGTATTTGTGTGTTTCGACCCATGCAGGGAGAAGACGTCCTCAGCAGGAGCTCTGATCTCATCTTTTCTGGAGAGTTGAGCAAGCTGTCCCAGCCTCAGGCTAAGAGTCAACAGAGAATGTTTTTCCTCTTTGATCATCAGATGGTCTACTGCAAAAAGGTGCCTCAGCATTTTGCACTACTGCTGATGACAGTATGAGTAAAGAATCATCCTAATGGGGAGGGAAAAGTGAACTTGTAGTATCTCTGACTGTGGATGATCGTCATACTTAAATTACACACTGACCTTCTCAGCTTTTGGTTGGGGCACTCCAAGGAGTCACAAGATTGATATGATAGGGAGAAAAAAACATTTGAAATTCTTAATACTTTTCAGTCTGTTGGCCACCTTCCATTTGTTTTATTTGTGCACCATTTTCCATATGCACAGCTGTGTTGGTGTCATAAATGGGCATTAACTAAAATGTTGGAAAGAAATAGGTTGAAATAAAAATAACCATAATGATATTAACTATTTGCATTGTAGTGCACTTAAAATCCCTGTTGAATTCACAATATATGAATCTGTAGGCCACAGATTAACAGCCAAAATAATTTTTGGAATACTAGATTTGCTTTTATTGAATACGTAGATCCTACATTATAAGCCGTCCACAGAATGTTTCCAAATGGTTGATATATTTTTGTATATTAGAAATACACAAAGTATCTCTTCAATATTAAGTCACTAGGCCGCTATTGTCTACATTCACAAAAAGTGTAGTCCTTTCACATTTTTTTCAGTTTCATTTCAAATGCAGGAGAGGAAATTATCCAAATATTGAAGTTTACTAAGTGCTCGTATCTGTGATGACATCAGTATTTGCCTATAAATGACATTCATTCACATGACAACATTAAAAAAGAGCCAAATAATAATTGCTTACAAGGCCCAAAGTGGTGTGCTAAAATATCTTTGTTTAAGTAGCAGTACTCAAATGCCATGTGCAGTTCTATAGGAACTGGAGAATATTTCTTCATTGAAAGAAGAGCAAAGAACCCATTGAAGGCTTCATCCATTCAGCTGTATTTTTGAAAGGGCCTACTCTTTTCCAAACAGTTTCCTACAGCTTCTCAGATGGTTCTGTGTAACAAACCATCTGGTGCGTCTGCTTAAAATGAACCCACTAAGTTGCAAAAGTTAGCCTGCACCCCTCCCTCTCAGATTTCTGCCACTTTCTGTGCACTGTATATGTATTCGGTAGTAATTAGTCATTGTTAGAACTCAGTGGCGGGTCGTGCATTTCATACCTGGCCTTCACTGCTGTCCTGCAGCTGAAATACCACCTTATAACTACATTGTGGCGCCACAGCTATTATTCATTTTTAAGGCTGTAACTATGTACATCTTCATATTAAACCGTTCGGTACGAGTCGTTTGAATAATGCCAGAGCATTTAGAAAATGCAAAAGCCTAAATTCAGGAAAATATAATGTTCTCAGGTGGTCTGGCTGTGGGATCCACAGTCATTTCTTAATGACAAGCCTCGACCCACAGAGATTAATTTAGGATTTTACTTTCACAGCTTAAACATTGAACGTACTGCTCTGCAATGTCTTTCCTCGTCTCAGTACCCTCTGTCATGGTGCATCTCACTCAGTCAGAATGCATTTTGATTGGCTGAGCTGCATCACGTGAGGTGATTCACTACCCATCAGCCTCTGCTGGCTGTTGAGTTTCGTTTCACGATAGTCAAGTGCTCACCCACTGACCAATCACAGCACACTCTGTACCTCGCGGAAAAGCTACAAACGGACACTGGCGGCATGTAATGCTGACGTCATTATAGGCCGGCGCGCAGGCTCTGATACGTCAAAGAATACGCCCAACATGTCAAACTAAAGATCTGATTGGTTGAACACTATGACAATCAACAATATCGTCCCCATTTACTTTAATCTGCACTGGCTGCAGGTGAGACTCTGCAGGCCTGGGGCCTCTGTTCTTACCTAGAGACACAGAGGTGAGATCTGATTGGATAAAAGCTCTACTTAAAACAAGCTGCACTGGAAGCAAAGCAACTGAGGAAGACAGTAGCTGTGCAATGAGAAAATAAGATAATGGGAAAAATATATTTATAAATTATAATACATGTAGTGTATTTAAGAAAAATTATTTTTTTTTTAATATATATAGTTTTGTGATTCTGTTTATGCCAGCAGAGAAGGCCTTGCAGGCCCTGACGGCCCGCCACTGTTAGAACTATCTATTAGTTCTAACTAATGCTGCCCAACTATTCTTCAGTACACCGTGGTTTTTTTACCAAAGATTTTATGCTATATTGACTTAACATGATCCCTCTCTTTGTTCAGACCTGCGGCATGAGACACACCATTTATCAATCAGTCAGCCATGTTGGCTCTTGTTGGTTCCGTGGATTACTTACTTCTGGTACTCTTCAAAAGGATTCTTGGCTAAATGTGGCATCTCTATCATTGCAGGACCTCCTGCGGCGAGATATGCTGTACTACAAGGGTCGGATGGACATGGACTACATGGAGGTGATAGACGTGGAGGATGGCAAGGAGAAGGACTTCAACATCAGCGTGAAAAACGCCTTAAAGCTGCGGGCGCTGGCTGGTGAAGAAATCCAACTCCTGTGTGCCAAGAAGCCAGAGCAGAAACAGCGCTGGCTGAGAGCCTTCGCTGACGAGAGGATCCAGGTCCAGCATGACCGTGAGACAGGTCAGATATTTGCACAGTAAACACAAATAATAAATACACAAACCTGTGATATTCTAGTCAACCTTTCAGCCATGCTTCCTTTTCTGCCATGGACATGTGATCCATGTACTTTACCTTACCCTCCTCACTTTGTGGTGCCACAGGAAGGGTTGGGCTGCCAGCAGTAAATGGATTTCATATGATGCTGACCAAAAGAATAGACAAGCAAAATGTCATCCAGGCTTGTGTCTTGAGTTGTGCGGCTGCTTTACTGTGACACTATGAATTATGAGGAATGAATGTGTTGGACTTATGTCGAGTCCAGCACATTTCCATCCATGAAGTCCTTGTTGGCTTGTATTGAGAATGTGGACAGTCAGTTTGGTTCACCTTTTGTGAACAAACAAAATGAAAGTAACTTATTGAGAAAGCTTCCTAGTGATACCAAGTTAAATCTACAAAGGGTGTTATATGCTCCACACACACACACACACACACACACACACACACACACACACACA